GGGTACATGGACCCTTAGGGCATAGTAATTTCATTGGGCCCCTACTTCAAAGGGGCATTGGGTCGCCTCACGGCTTGGCGACTTCGGCTTTGGGTTCGAATATTTGGCGCAAAGTTCTCCGGGCTAAAAGTATCCCTACACCCTAAATACTAAAACTTAAACCCCAAACCCGAAACCCTAAATCCTAAACCCCAAACCCTAAACCCTAAACCCTGAACCCTAAATCCTAAAACCTTGCCTTTTGGACGTCAGCTGTCCTGAAGTCATTCCTCCTTGCTTCTACATCAATCCCTGGTCAAGCCCAGGGCCCTTCCTGTATACCAAAACCCTAAACCCTAAACCCTAAACCCTAAACCCTACAAAAGGCTTCCAAGGACCTTATAGTTAGGGCCCTAGACCCCTTAAGGACCCAATAATAAGGTCCCTGGAAGCCTAGGGCTACAAAATAGCAGGTTGTGTTCCCTAAATTATAGGCTCTAACCCCTAAACCCTAAACCCCAAACCCTAAACCCTAAACCCTAAACCGTAGGCTCTAACCACTGAAGCAGCAGGTTTTTGGATCCCAGGTTAGGCTTCTTCGTAAACGGGGTTTGGGGTTTAGGGCAGAGGTGTCAGGATTTTGGGTGGGTCCCAACTCTCGTGAGAAATGCCGAAGTTACGTTACCTCGAGTTTACACCCGAAGATGTCTCACAAGCGATCGCTCAAGAGACGACTTCGTCCTCATTATTCAGCAAGTCTCTAGACCCTAAACCCTAAACTCTAAGACCCTGTAACCGCAAACCGACCCCAAGCAGCTTGGGTGGGGACAAGCACCTTACACCACTTCAGTCGAAGCCCTCCGTTCTGTTCCCCTAAGGGTCCATGTACCCAAATAGCATATACTTTGGCCTTAATGTAGTCCCTATATAGGTACTTTGGGGCCAATGTATATACTATTTGGGTACATGGACGCTTAGGGTTCTTGAACCCCTGAGAGGTCCCCAAACTCGACTCTAAGTTCCAACAAAGCCGTAAATCCCGGTTTAGGTTTAGGGCTTAAAGTCGCCAAATTTTCTAAAGCCTGACCCTAAACTTAAACCCTTATAGCCCTAAACCTTTTGCACCTAGCCCCTACACTGCCGCTACTTGGAGGATCATGGGACTTAGTAGCTAAGGCTATAAGCACCTCAATGAGCGTTATAATTAGTTCTATCAAAGTAGAGTTACAATGCTCCTCATGAAAGTTACTAAGGTCCATGATCCTTTAAGTAGCCCCTAAACCCTAAACCCTAAAATCTGTTCCTTTAAGTAGCCCCTAAACCCTAAACCCTGAACTCTGTTCCTTTAAGTAGCCCCCAAACCCTAAACCCTGAACTCTGATCCTTTAAGTAGCCCCCAAACCCTAAACCCTAAACTCTGATCCTTTAGGTGACCCCTAAACCCTAAACCCTAAACTCTGATCCTTTAAGTAGCCCCCAAACCCTAAACCCTAAACTCTGATCCTTTAAGTAGCCCCTAAACCCTAAACCCTGAACTCTGTTCCTTTAAGTAGCCCCCAAACCCTAAACACTGAACTCTGATCCTTTAAGTAGCCCCCAAACCCTAAACCCTAAACTCTGATCCTTTACGTAGCCCCTAAACCCTAAACCCT